TGAGTATTGATACTGACATCAATATCTATAGTTTAAGTAGAATATATTGAATACAGAGAGTACATGCAGAACCCGTATCCACATATGTGAGTATTGATACTGATGTCAATCTCTATAGTATAAGTAGAGTATATTTAATACAGAGAGTACGTGGGGAACCGTACCCACATACGTGAGTGTTGATACTGACGTCAGTATCTACAGTCTAAGTAGAAGGTACTTAACCCAGAGAGTACGAGCGAACCGTGCCCACATAGGTGAGCGCAGACACCGATGTCAGCGCCGCCGTAGGCGCCTGGCGCGCTGCTGGCGGCCCCCTTCCCGGTCCCCTCACCCTGCGTCTTGTCGCCCCGCAGGGCGAGTGCTCTCAGAGGTGCTACTACATTTTCGTCGTGGAGACGGTCTGCGTGGCCTGGTTTTCGCTGGAGTTCTGCCTGCGGTTCGTCCAGGCGCAGAGCAAGTGGCGCTTCTTCCAGGGGCCCCTGAACATCATCGACATCCTGGCCATCTCCCCGTACTACGTGTCGCTGGCGGTGTCGGGCGAGCCGCGGGACGACGGCGCGTACCTGGAGAAGGTGGGGCTGGCGCTGCGCGTGCTGCGGGCGCTGCGCATCCTCTACGTGATGCGCCTGGCGCGCCACTCGCTGGGGCTGCAGACGCTGGGCCTCACCGTGCGCCGCTGCGCGCGCGAGTTCGGCCTGCTGCTGCTCTTCCTCTGCGTGGCCGTCACGCTCTTCTCGCCCCTGGTCTACCTGGCGGAGACCGAGTCCGGGAGGGTCCTGGAGTTCACCAGCATCCCCGCCGCCTACTGGTGGGCCGTCATCTCCATGACTACGGTGGGCTACGGCGACATGGTGCCGCGCAGCGTGCCCGGCCAGGTGGTGGCGCTGAGCAGCATCCTGAGCGGGATCCTCATCATGGCCTTCCCCGCCACGTCCATCTTCCACACCTTCTCGCTCTCCTACGTGGAGCTCAAGAGGGAGCAGGAGCGGGTGCAGGCCGCCGCGGCCAGCGAGCGCGACCTCCTGAGCGACGTGGACGACCCGACCCCGGGGGGCCCCCCCGCGTCGCCCGCTAAGTACGTTTAACTCCAGACCCCGGAGGGGAGTGAGGGCGGCACTGCTGCCCGGGCTACAGAGCACCACGGTGTAGACCCTCCGGTGGCATGCTTCCAGAGGTCCGGGAGGGCCCCCACAGCTGGGAGGGGCGCATGGGGTTGGCTTGCGGTGCTTCGCGACCCCGCCGGCCTCCGGGATTCCGGCTGACTTTGTGGACGCTCCTTGCCTTTTCCTCTCTTGCTGCCCATCGCGGAGCACAGCCACTCTGCTGTTGGGGCCGTCAGTCATGCCGCAGTCTCCGTCCTTCCCCGTAGTCCTCCATACCCCAGGCTGGGTCCAGACGCCCACAGAACCAAGGCTGCAGACTTCTGTTCCCCCCACCCCCAAGCCCCGCTTTGCAGGGGCCTCCGTACAGCCAGGAACCGGAGGGTCCAGTCACTGCAAGCCCTTCGGACCAGGTCCCCCGGGCCAGTCCTATCACGGGCTCCTGCAAGGATCAGTATGTCCCCTTTCCACACACCATCGCCAGTGGCGTTCTCCTAATGCGGCTGCCTAACCACCCCTCCCCCCAGCTCTGGAGGCTCACACCCAAGAAGGACGTAGGCAAGAGTGCCCCTTGCCAAGACAGCAAAAGCCCTCCTTGGCCAGCGGGGCTCTGGGTGGAAGTTCTCCAAGCACCCAGCGCTCGGCCATGATAGAGGCTCGCTCCCGCAGGGCACGGCACTGCCCCTTGAGAGAACCGTTCCTGCTGCCCGCTCCTCCGGCGCGCAGAGACCGCGGCTTCCCGCCCTCGGCTGAGCCACCACGAGTGCAGAAGTGAGGGCCCCCTTAGGATCTGCCCCTGGCCGCCTCCCCAGGCCAGGCCCTTGCTGCCAAAGGGCGCATTCCTCAGCTTATACGTAAATGTGCTTGTCTGTTTAGCCATTCTTCATGAACAGACTCGGCCCTTTGCATCCCTGGGAGGAAGCAGATGGAGGACCGAGCTGCTCTAATAAAAGGAGTCCATGCCGAGGCCAGAGCAACACAGGGCTCCACAGAGACCCAGGAGGGGCTTGAGTGAGGAGGGACATTCGGGGAGCTGAAAGCTGAATCTGGAAGGGGGTAGGGATGGGAAGGGGTGGACTGTGAAGGCTGAGTAGGGGGCCTGGACTCTGCTGGAGGAAGCAGTGATGTGGCCAGACTGCAGGGGTGGGTAAAGACGATCAGCATGCAGGGAGAGGGGCGGCAGTGGGGGAGCAGAGAACGCCTGAGCAGCTCAGACAAGCTACAAGGGCCGAGCTCCACGTGTCAGTAGTTGTAGGAGGCGTGCCAGACGCTGCACCTGGGAGGAGCATCAGTGGTCCCTCCCACCAGCGACACAGCCACGTGTGTCACTCGCCGCCGGCTGTGAATCCACTGCGGAGAATGCGCCGGGACCCGAATGGGTGGCAGCGAGGCTGTCGTGGGCCTGCGAGTCTGCTGTTGCTGACACGAAGCGTGTTAGCATCTCATGCCTCTTCGTCCGTTCTGCTGGGAGCTAGCACGGGCTCACTGTGTGCCGAACGTGCCACCCGCCGACCGCAGCACCGGGCAGCACGTGGCCGCTAGCTCCGGCCCAGGCAAGCACCCCGCACCAGCGTCGGGCTCAGGCTCCCCTTACGTCGTGGGCAGCCTCATTGCCTTTGAATCCTCTCAGCACCCCTGCCAGCTGGGGCGGGGGAGGGGAGACGTCTCCATCCCTCTAGACCCCAAGAGTGGCCAGGCCGACTCCAGTCCTTCTCACACTCACATATGCAGGCCCTTTGCATAGTGGCACCGTGGCCGGTCTCACCCAAGGAAAGACCCCTACCCCTTACAAAATTCCCCGCCCGGGCCACTCTGCCCCGGGAAGTGACTCATGCCCTGGGCGCTCTCTCAGACCTGGATTTTCACTCTCGCCATGACCTTGGCCCCTTCCCTCTGTCCAGCGTGGGCCTCTGGCTACACCTGCGACTCCTCCGGCTGGAGCTCCTCCAGCAAGAGCCTTGCGCTGGCTTTGTGGGTAGAGAGCTCTGCATCCCAAGGTGAAACATTTGCACATAATGTGTGTAAAAAGAATGTGCTAATTTCTGGACACCCTCCCACCTCCCATCAGGGGTCCTTGAACTGAGTGGAGAGCTCACCCCCAGAACCAAGGAAGAGTCCTCATCAGACCCCACACCCGCCTTCCCTCTTCTCTTTGGGGGCCTTTTTTTTTGGGGGGGGGGGCTGCATGCCTGGTGTGGTGATCCCTCTCTCCATCTTTCCCCATCCGGTGCTGGGTTTCCACCCAGGCATCTCCATTGTCCTCTGAGTCACACACCAGCCATCTGAACCAACGTGTGCCAGGGCTAAAAGCCAGCTAAGCCCCTCACCAACGTTACAAGGTTCTCCAGGGTCCTGATACACGCCCGGTGGAAATCCTACCAAATTAGAAGTGGAAAGGGGCACCTGGGTGGCTTAGTCGGTTAAGCGTCCGACTTTCGCTTAGGTCATGATCTCGCGGTTCGTGGGTTCGAGCCCCGCGTCGGGCTCTGTGCTGACTGCCAGCTCAGAGCCTGGAGCCTGTTTCAGAGTCTGTGTCTCCCTCTCTCTCTGACCCTCCCCTGCTCACGCTGTCTCTCTCTCTCTCTCCTAGAAATAAATAAAAAATATTAAAAAAAAATTAGAAGTGGAAAATGGGAACCGATGGCTCGCCAGCAAGGTTTAATTAAACGCTCTATTTTTTTCTCCCCAGTAATGGCCCCAGGGACTGGTCTAAGCAGCTGTCTAGCCAGCTTTTCCTTCACGCTCATTGGATGGGATCCGGGTGACGCGCGAGTTGCTAGGTGGTCTCTTCATCCCCATTGGCTGAAAGCTGTGCCGGTGCCCAAAGGGCTTGTTTTCTCCGAGGTCAAAGAGCATGGCTGCAGCCAAAGGTGGACATTTTCCAACTGAAAGCAAAGGGCACATGGCCCTTTAAGTCAAGTGATTTCACGTCTTGCGGTAGAAGAGGCTCCCACAGATAACTTCACTATTATTGTTATTTTAATTGAAGTGCAGTAGCCACACAATGTTACATCAGTTGCAGGTGTACAGTGCTGTGATTGGACAAGCTTATGTATACCTTATGCTGCGCTCACCACAAGGGAAGCCACCCCCTGGGAGAACTTTAAAATGTGGGTCCAATGTCTCTAACCAGAGTGGAGCCCAATAAGGGACTTGGGGATGGACGAACGGATTCATTCTTCACCGCAGTGCAAGTTGGGGCTCCGCCCACTGACTCTGTTTTGATGGCTTACAGGGCTTGAGAAGTTGGTCCTTGGACAGCTTATCAGAATAGATCTGAGCAGGAAGTTTCCATGAGTCAACTCTGGAGATTATGCGCATCTCAAAGTGCCCAGCTTCAAAAAAGGATCCAACAGGGGCGCCTGGGTGGCTGAGTCGGGTAAGTCTCCGACTTCGACTCAAGTCATGGTCTCGCGGTTCCTGGGTTCGAGCCCTGCATCCAGTTCTGTGCTGACAGCTCGGAGCCTGGAGCTGCTTCGGATTTGGTGTCTCCCTCTCTCTCTGCCCCTCCCCCCTCGTGCTCTATCTCTCTCTGTCTCACATATAAATAAATATTAAAAATTTTTTTAAAGAGGGTCCAACAATTTTATCGGATCTTCAAAGGAATCCATGACCCCTGTAAAAGCATATGAAGTTATTAAGTAAATCAACTCTCGTGTTTTAAGATGGAGGGACCAGGGCTCAGAGAGGGAGAGCCACCTGCCCAAGGCCGCACAGCCAGTTTACTTCCTTCAATCCTGAGTTCCAGCAAGATATTGTTTCTAGTGTATCATGCTTCAGCTCTTAGGCTCTTCTGAAATGGTGCCCAAGCCCTCACAGAAAATATTCAAGATCAAGAGTGTAGCAAGAATATAACTTTGCCCCGCCGCCCTGAGCAGAGTAAGCAGGGTGGCCTTGGGGTGTTTCAGACACCAGCTGTCACCCTTCCTTGGTCATATCACAGTTGATTTCAGGCAGCTGATTTCACTGGGCCTTCCTTTTCTCACTGATCGCATGGGGAGAGGTGGGACCAGACGGTGATTAAAGCCCCTCCCGCCTCGGACAGTATGTGATTGTGGGGCGTGGAGTTCATTGCAACAACTTATGCCATGGAGGCGCAGGTTGGAGACCAGAAGTGAGAGAAAAATGAAAATCAAACCATGGTCCTTGACTATCCTCAGAACTGCTCCGTTAGCAAAAATCATCAAGTAGTTCAGGTTTGAACGGAAATTCGCTGACATTTCCAGCTGCCTGCCCAGTTCCTATCCACCCACCTCGGCCCCTCCCCCTCCCCAAGGCCCCCCCAGTGCCCGGCTGTGGGGTGCCAGCCAGCTGCTTGCCTCTCACCAGAACACTAAACCCCGCCATGCTTTTCCTCACATCAGTATGTTAATAATCGGCATTGCTTACTGAATAATTACCAGTCACCAGGCAACTGATTTTTTAACCTTTTATTTGGGAAACGTCAAACTCAAAGAAGTTGTAAGAACAAAAATAGTACATGCATGCAATACCTGAATACGCCTCTTTAAAAAAATTCTTTTAATGTTTATTTATTTTTGAGAGAGAGAGAGACAGCATGAGTGGGGCAGAGAGAAGAGGAGACACAGAATCCAAAGCAGGCTCCAGGCTCTGAGCCGTCAGCATAGAGCCCGACGCGGGGCTCGAACCCACGAACCGTGAGATCATGACCTGAGCCGAAGTCGGGTGCTCAACCGACGGAGCCCCCCAGGCACCCCTCCACCTCAATTTTTTAAACACATTGTACCATTTGCTTTATCATTTACTATTTTTTAGTTATATGCAAATAGGATTTTCTGGACCATTTGAGAGTAAGTTGGCTACAGCATGGCCCTTTGCTTTTAGAACTTTAGAATGTAGTCCCTGGTCTATCAGGAAACTGCCCCAAGAGGGGACCGGGACTCTCTGGAGGTGACAAACAGAGCATGTGTATGCTTGTGCATTTCAGAATGGCACGTGTCCATGCCATTTCTTTGGATTCTCAA